TATATTAGCTCTATAATATATTATATAAAAAAAAAATAATTCTTAATTTCCTAACCCTAACCCTAAATTTTATTAAAGAAATTATACGTAGGTGCTAAAACACCATAGGTGCGTTTTATAATAATTGTTAAGATATATATTGTTATAAGCAAACTGAATCACCCATTCGAGGGCTTTCTGCCAATGTCATTTTTGGCAGTGCGTAGACCTTGTGCTCTTTGAATTCTTCGCTTATTTTTTGGGGCCTTCAGAGACCACATGATGCATTGGACTTTTAGTAAAATAGAGTCAAACTCGTGATATTTGACTAAGATGATTGGGTATCTGCGTTCCTGCAAATTTGCCCGCGATTGCTAGACGGTGTAAGGGATAGTAATTTATAATTTTTTTTATTTAAAATTGCAAAGTTAAACACCAAATAGTTTTAAAAAATTTCAAGCAAATTTATTTAATTTTTTGCTACATTCTTTAAATAAATATTTAATTTATTTAAAGTAATAATTATATCGATATGATTACTATGCAGAAACTTAAATTTCTTAAGGTGCAGTAACTGCATAGTAAATATAGTTACGATTAAATTTAATTGTAATTATGTAATTACTGTAATCACAGTCCTTAAAATGTATAATTAAATATCACATGGTGGTATTAGTACTAATCCCTCCATTATGAAAAATCTAGAAGATAGCAATTTATGAATTATCTATTTAATGAGCCAAATGAAGGTGGATTATCGCTCATTCATGATAGCAAACCATTTATAATTAACGATGTAAGCATTTATCATTCTCATATCTCTCATATCCAACATTTATTCAAAGAAATGATAATAATAAAAATAATAAATAATAATAACATAAGTATAAATAAACTATCCTACCTATTCAACATTTTTACAAATTTTTTACAATTTTTTCTTTATTTAAAGTCCAAGAGATGGAAAGTTTAATCTTCCAATATAGTACATCTTCTCCATTATGCTGATGTACCCAAGTTAATTCCGGATATTCATTTTCAAGATGTTCTTTAATTATATCTTTATATAAGGACATTATATTGTATGCATAACGTTTTGTATCTAAAAATATATCAGATAAATTTATCTCGTTTAATAAAGCATGAACCGTAGCTTGTCCATTATTAAGAAAAAGTACATCAATATCGGTTTTAAAGGATGTTTCTTTCAAATAACTTTCTACTACTCTACTAATTAATTCATTAAATGCGCTAATTAAATTTCGGATTTTTGTAATTGCAATTTTATCAATAGATGTTGGTCGTGGAATTTGAAAAAAGTCAAGTTCGATTTCTATTTCTTTTGATGTTATTGTATCCACTAAAATAATATATATATATTGAAAATTATATTAAAAAAAAAATTTTTTTTAAAAAAAAAAATAAAAAATTTTTTTCTTACATTGATTTCCAATATTTAATTTTCCTGTCCGATAAAATTGCATAACATAATGAAATATTTGACCGGAACGATCAAAGAAATATTCATTACCATTCCTTGGAATTCGCAATGTTCTATTTCTTTCTTGAAACATGGTTCCAAGAAATGTATCAGGATATGCAGTGAGAGTAGATCGATAAGTCTCATACTATCAAAAAATAGCGATAGAAAAAAAAAACTTTTTAAAAATTATTTGAAAATAAATTACAGATCTAAGAAGGATATCAACTTTCATACTTTAACACCACCAACGTTTAAAATAATTGTTTCATCAGAACATTCATCAGTTAAACTTTCTACAGTTATATTATTAGTTTCGTCCATTTCTTCAAAATTATAAAGATTAAAAATTAAACATTAGCATAAAATAAACGGATTCTGTCCAATATAATAATAAATTTGTTCTGCGTTGCACGGACTGTGAAAGATGATTGGATTATTATTATGCACCTTTTCAACTTTTTTTTTTCTTGTAATACGTATAGCTATTGACGCAAAAACGATAATCACGTAAAATTACGTATTTAGTTAGTCACTAAAGATGAATTACTTATCTGTTATTATTGTGTAGTGGTAATCATGATTTTTATTTTAAGATAACGACATTCCTAAAATGTGACACAAATTTCCTCAACGGTCAAAGTTGACTCAATTTAAGGTTAGTGTGACCTGATAACGTTGGTCAGAATTAGATGTCGGGGAAATAATTTTCGGGAAAATCGTTAGAAACCATCCAAAATTTATAAAAATGTGGTGCAATACCTAATTTGGTATGTAGGTGTATATGTACTCTGCATATACAAAACTAGAATGGTAATAATTTTCCGTGACCGTACTGTCGTGTACATTGGCCGATCAAATATTTAAGATATTTTACGTACATTACGACGTACGTACGTACGTACGTTCACTTACGTGGTATTACTCGAACTCTCAATTACCTGTTACTGAATTATTGTTATCAAGTTACAAAATCATGTTAACTTCTATCCCACCAGAAATTTATCAAAATATTTTTAAAGATCTTGATACAGATTCATTATATTCAGCTATTTTGGTTAATCGTATATGGTGTTCTAATGCTATTTCTATTCTTTGGCAAAACCCATTAGAAATTCTGTATCAAAATGACGATAGTGAATATTTTGAAACAGACGTGAAATCAGTTATAAAAACTTATATTTCTTGTCTTCCAAAAGAATCTAAACTTATGTTGTCTTTCACTGATTTGTGTATTGACTTATTAACTTCATCAATTCCAACTTTTAATTACCCATCATTTTTACATACATTAAATTATTTATTATTATCTGATTCTGTGAATAGAACCATTAAAGATAATTCTAATGTTATGATGGTCCAAATTCTATTATGCAAATTATTTTTCGACCAAGGCTTTCACATTAGATCACTTGAATTTAGCACTCATATGATAAAAGATTATTTGGATTCACATCTCAAGACGATTTATATGAATTTAAGAGAAATACCTGGAGCTGATAATTTTTTTTCAAGAATACAAAGATTATGTTGGCGAGGTAAAAAAAAAAAAAATAAAAAAAAAATAAAACTATAGAAAAAAATACAATTGATTCTTGTAGTTGTCGTATTCTACACGTGCAAATAAATATTTTTTCAACTTTACTATAGATGATGCACCACCTTATTGTCTTTCCTCAATAGCCGAAATAGCAAAGGAAATTCGTGTTTTAGATATTTTATTGGAATCTGAAAATGAGAATGAATCTGGTAGTAATGAGCTATTTACTTTGATAAATGCTCAAGATAATTTACAACAGATCACAATAATCTCTTTAAAAAAGACGACAAAAGCCATTTCAGCACTTCGATCAAAATCTAATACCCTCCGAAAGATCTTTATAAAAGGAATTACTTCCTTTTCATTGGATTTCTTTTATGATTGTTCGAATCTTGAAGAATTATCTTTATTATATAATGAATCGCATCTACTTACGAATCCTCAAATTGCCAGACAACTTCGGACTGAAATTCAAGGTTACATTCAAGCCGGAACTCTGGACCGTACTCAAATGGTACCATCTGTACAAATGGTCTCTGCTATCCGAAGGACGGTGGCAAACATCCAAGGAACAACTATTCCTCGAATTCAAACCATAACAAACGAGAAAAAGAAATTACTTCATTCTTCTGAAGTTAATATACAACCAATTGGTCCTAATCACTCAAATCTATCTAAACTTACTGTCTTCCAAATCAACCTCGACAGTTTTCAAACTACTGAACAAGTAATTGATATAATTCAATGTAATAATGGTGGTCTTCGTGAATTACGTGTTCAAAAAACTGCGCCGATAACTGTAGAGCATTTGAAGCAATTATTTTTGATGGTTATTAATCATTGTCCAAATCTTATTCATATTACGTTATGTATTCCAAACATAGCAATATCAGAAATTCCAAATCTTTTTAAAAAATGTTTATCACTTGAAGAAGTTTATTTGAGAGCAGTGAAAACAATGGATATTAGCGAAACTCTTGATGAAATGAGTTTTGATGTTCCAATTAATTTAAAATCCCTTAGTTTAGGGTTATATAGTTGGAAATATTCGTTTTTAGCTATTAAGGGATTTTTGAAAGGATGTGAATTGAGAGTAAATAAGAAACCTATTAGGTTTTTGTATAGCAATAATTTGACTAAAGATGCTATTGATGTACTCAAGCTGTATGAGTCGAAGGGAATATTAGATTTGGTTGAAAAGAAATTATGGTATGCATAAAGGTGGTAAGAATTTGATTGCATAAGGGTGTAAGAATTTGATAGTTTAAATGATTATATGCTACTATAATTACTTTAGATAGAACTTTTTTAGTGTTGATTTTATTATATACACATATATACATGATATCAAATTTTATTTTCTTTTGCATGTCAATTATATTTTAGATAAATAACTGCATTATAAAACTATAAAACTAGCCAAAAAAAAAGCCATTATTCATGTTATTTCACGAATAAAAAAATTTTTTTTCTTTTTAAAAAAAAAAATTATTCATCAAACATTGCATCTCGAAATAAAATAAGAAAACATTTAGCATAACAACAATAATTGAAGCCATGTTAAGTGCAGAAAGATTATTTGAATCGGACGACAAATTAGCCGTATTTAAGTTAAGTGAAGAAGAATTAGTTTCAGTGCAATATGATGATGAACAATTTTCCGTTGATAAGGATTGTGGAAAGATGACACTTGGTTTGTAAGGATTCGGATTATTCAAAGTGGCAAATCTAAATGAATTAATCAAATAAATTTTCAGTCATTTTGACTCGTAATATTCGATTCGTAAAAATTTTTTAATATATATATACCCTAAAGTTTCCAAAATAGCCAATAATTTTGGTCCAACAGCCTCCTCTTTACCGCCTTTAGTACCACTTGCAGCGATAGAATCTTCTAGAGTCCTTCCAGCTGTTTGTTCAAACGTCATTAAAAACTCACTAGAATTATCAAACAATTTTTCATCTACGTGACTTAAGCTAGAACCGCTTCGAAAAGGATCTATACCAGTTTCTAATACTACTACGTCATTTTTTGAATTAGATGTATTAAGTAAAAAACCTATAGAATTAGATTTAATACAATTTGCATACATCTGTTTCGCTATATCGAATTGTGATGAAGCCTTAAACTTTTCTTTAAATTCATTAATTGAAGCAAATTTTGTGGCTTGACCATCCAGAAATTTATCAAGTTTTGATGTTAACTCTGTCGTACGTGTTTTATCTGATGTTAAAACCATATATTTATCAAAAGCATTTTCTAAAAATCCACGAAAGACCAATTCAGAATTTCTTTCAATATTATCTCCAACATTATAAATAATACCATCAACATTAGGAGTAAGGAATAGTGAATTTTGATCAAGATAATCGTTACTCCAACTGGAAAGAAAACCAAGTCCATGTGTTAATTCATGCAACACGAGTTCTTCAAAACCGGTTTGATTCGGTTGGATTTGCGGATCGCCTTCGAACCAAAATGGAAAATTTGAATTAAAATCAGCTAAAATATCAATCGGTGCATACTCTGGATGAACATTTAATTCAAATTGTTTGGCGAGAGCTTGTGCATATAACCGAATTTTTCCATCATCATCTCTGAAAGGAATTGTTCGGGACGGACCTGCTGAACCTGTATCATAAAATTCATAAAATTCATAAATAACGTGATCAAGAGATATTAATTCCCGATTTGGGGATCAAAAAGATGAATGAATGAAATTGAAACGTAATTTTTATTTACCTAATAAATTTTCTTCTAAAGGTTTAAAACTAGCCTTCAAACCAATTCTTGTATTAAGTAATAATTTTGAAGTTAAAATTCTTCCAACAGATTCGAATGTTGCTTTGGCTTTATTACACATTTTTTCGTCTTTTGAATCACAATAAAACGTTAGATCAAACATGTTATTTGGATCACGTTTCGATCTATAATCATCGCGAATTTCAATTTTATTATTTGATCTAACATAAGGACATGGTACTAAAATTTTGTTTCTTGGATTGAAAGGATCTAAATAATCGATGCATTGAAGACTAGCATAAACTTTGATAATTTTAAAGAATAATAAATAAATGAGGAAATAAATAGCAGTAAAAGAGATTCTTTTCATAATTGTATATATATCTAATTTTTTTGAAGAAAATGAAAACCCAAGACCAGCAAGGGATTATAAAGTTTTTTTTTAAAAAAAAAAATACAGAAAAAAGCTTAGCGCGTTTAAATTAATAATTGAAATGAGTTCTTCCTGGTTCATAAAATTTTCACATGTTAATATCTGGGAGAAACATTTCAATTCTAACACAAACAAATTATTGAATTAGGTATTAATGAAGCCGTAGGTTTTACTCCACTAGGGAGAAGATGAAGGCTTGAATCATTATTTATTCCAGATATAAGAAAATTATGATTTTATTTTGGTTTGCATATTAACTTAAAAGGGTAATAATCTAATATAGATTCTTAATGTTTTAAGCACTGTACCTACAGTATCTATTGTATCTATAGTTTTCTACGTACATAAACGGGCTAAATAAAATTCTTATCTCAAAAATAACAATTACATTTAGCGTTAGACCCTTTATTAAGTTATTTAGTTTTTTTTTTTTTTTTTTTTTTCATCAGATTTTAGTTATATAAATATTTTTATTTTTGCCCAAGGAATAATCGTAAATATGATTATGGATTGATTCACAGTTTTGCCAAGTGTTACTATAGCATTTAGTCAGTAATTTTCTAGGCATTCATGCACATCCCGATAATTTATCATTGAACATTTTTTGTAGATTATGATTAATTTGAAGAAATGAAACGGTTATACGTGTTTCATCTATTTTTTTTTTGACGTTCTCACGTGACATGCCAAAAAATATTGAAGTGTGCTACTTTGTCTTATTAGGTCATTTTTATTGTTTCTCAAAGAAGTCACACAAATTACAACTCACCAATAAGTATCAAATCCAATAATAGATTATGATAAACCCCTTCTAGGCGTTTTTTGTTTCGGATAATGACTGTAAATTGTGTAACATCAATCCTAGGCTTTGGTATTTTATTACTCTCGGGACATTCCTTCAATAGCCGTTATTTTGCCCTAACTTTCATAACTTTCATGTATCACGACTTATTTATTGAATATTTGTTAATTTACAGTGCTTAACAAGTTCTTTCCTATATTTGAAGCGATCAATATTAATAATGTCATTATAGAAGGTAAATAAGAGGATTGTATGGCATTTTTGTAAAACTCGTGGCGATTTATAATGTCGTACGTACGCACGTACGTATGCGTCAATATATTTTTTACATCTTGTTACATAAACAAGAACTTTGTTTTTACTGTGGATTTCTATAAATGGCTATCGCCTAAATTTTACAATTAGTAACTAGAAAATTCGTCCGTACGTGCATTGAACCAATGTTAATGTATATGTATTTATTAATAGTAATCTATTATCTTAAGTATATAACTTAATAACATGTAAGCCCGTGGTTGCAGTAAAGCAGGAACCATAGTTTTTTTCTACAAGGTTGATGGTTACATGTTCTCGTTATGCATACATACAATATTAGATATGTAATATGTACCAGTACAGTACGTACGTACGTAAATTTTAGAGTTCGGGATTCTTTGATTAATGGAACTTTCTTCAATTCAATATAAATATTTAATTTTTATTTTTATTATTACATTATTGCTTCTTTTTCTTTTCCCTTCTTTTTTTTTTTCTTTTTTTTTAATTAATTGTTATAATTCAATTAGTTATGTGATCAAGAAGATATTTGTGAAAAAAAAAAAATTAGCTGAAATGATTGTTACACTTTTGTTGTGGGTAACACTCTTAATTGTGTCTCTGGGAATTAAACAAACAAAAAGCAATATTTCGAACTTTACATATGTAGAAACAGTAAAATATGGTGAAAATATGTTACCTAATGTGTGGAACTCGATCGTGTATGATGATGGAACTATCGTTTTACGTATAGTTCGTGAAGATCCTGGTTCCAACAAACTTTTACCAAATGCAACAATATCAAATACAACAATATGCTTACAAAATTTATTATCATTGAGAATTTTATTTTCTAACGGAACAGTAATTGAGCAAGATATTGACTTGGAAATTCAATCACTAAATTATTGCATTTCTAAACTTGAGGTTAATTCGGATCTTTTTGATCCCATCAAGATTTATGCGTTGAAAACTAATTATGTTCTAGTAACTTATTATAATGCTACTAATGTAAATGATAATTCTACATATTCATATTGGGGAATGGTCGTGGACTGGAATGGAAATAAATACCGGTTAGAAAAAAATTTTAATTTTATTATATAATATTATATAATCGATTAACACTTTATTAACTTACAACTTTATCTCATTAAATATTTGCATAGTCCAATAAACTTTGGTTCTACAATATTCTCGATGCAAAATATGAATAGTGTTTGTAGAAATATTAATCCAGATAAAGGGTTTTTGCGTTTAAGTATATCTTCTAATGTTATTGACTGGAGACAATATATCATGTAAACTTTCATAAGAGGAATATTTGGAACTTTCCTAAATTTTTGTTTTTGTTTTTTTTTTTTCCAAAAATTTATTAAGTTGATATTTGACATTAGGGCCGATAATGGGGATATAATTCAGTTAAATGCAACTGGAACAATTGATATTAGTGGTTCTTTTCGTAGTACTTTATTCGAGGCGATTTCAACAGTAAATGAAGATTATGCTATCATCTTTGGTAGCACTTTTAATTCGACATCTAATTCAACATCAACATCTAATAATTCATCAGATACTTTATCTTCTCATGGAACATTACGTATTTATCCACTGGAATATAATAAAAATAGTACCGGAATTTCACTTTTGCTTTGGCAAACCTCTCTACAAAACTTAACCTTCTCATATCTTCAATGCGTTGTTTCTAATACCGGTGTAGGCCATATGTGCACGATGACAGTAACACAATCAGTTCAATCTGAAGATGACACAGATATTATCATTAATAACGTATTTTATGTTAAAGTTACTTTTCTTTCTTCGGGTTCTGCTCTTGGGTTTACAACATTGAATCATAATTTACCTCAAGGTGTACCAAAAGATGTTGATCAATTAATTATTAAACCGTTGCCATGTGGTGGATATTTACTTTCTGCATATACATCTAATGCGACTGGTGTATTATTTTATGGTTACATTTTTAATGAAACCGGTCAAGATCCAGTTCCATGGGAACTATCGATACCTGTTAATTTAAATATTGCTGGAGTAACAACCATATTACCAAACAATTCTATGATTCTAGCATTAAATGAAACTGTTGATACGTGGAGACTACTTACTGTGGATTTACCAAATTTATTAAATATTTCATGTAATAAATAAATCTCAGTTCTTTGATAATTTTTTATTATTTGTTAAATATTTAATATTAAGTTTTAAATTTATTTTTTTTTAGATGTATATTCCAACCCAGCAATCTATTCTACATATCCTTCGATCAATGCTAGTATGTTAGATGCAAGTTCATTATCATATCTTAACGTGACCTTTCGCAATTCTGTGGAACTTTCAAGTGGTAAAATATCAATATACCAATCCGGTTCGACTACTGGAAAACAAAACCTTCGTCAATCAACACCGGCAAATTTATGTACTATCATTAATAATGATCTGACGGTGAAAGTGAATATTTTACCTTGCACTTTTAGTGTGCCTGGTGCCAGTTATTATGTCATGTTTGATAATAATTTTGTAATGAATTATGAATATAACGAGCCTATAATAGGACTACGTGATCGTATTTGGACATTTAGCACTGGTAATTTACAATTTTGAACTAAACTTAAAATTTAAATAGAAAAAAATTAAATGTTACTGATTTCCTTTTTTTTTTTTTTTTTTGATCTATCAAATATTGAATAGCTCCAAAAGAAGATATTTTTGCAGGTAAAATTTAGGGGAAAATAATAATATTCCATTAATAAATATAATATATACGATTCAATTTAATAATTTTTATTAATATAAATATGCCAGCTTCCGAAACAGGTCTTTTACGTTTAACGGTGAATGGTACAACGTACCTTAATTCTCTCAATAAAACACTTCGAAACCAATTCTTTGCTAATTTAACTGCTGAACTTTCTCAAATGATCCCGGTTGACCAAAGCCGATTGTCAACAAATGGAATATCTCAAGTAGATCCTTCAAATAATAATAATGCCGAGAAACAAGAATTAATAAATCTTGAAATTATGTCAACAAAAGATCCCGGACAACCAAATGTTAATAGAATTATTAATACTTTAGATAATTTAATCAAGAATAAAGATTATACTCCAATATCAACAGGTCAAACTACTCAATATTTGGATTCCGTATACGGATTTCAACAATCACGTAAGTAGCCTTATATTTCGAATTATACATTTAAACATAGTATTTTATTCATAATTTTTCTCTTGACAGCTGATCTATGGCAGAAGTATATGATGAGATTTATATTGATTTTTGTTGCCATCAGCATTCCTATAATTCTCTTCATTATAGCGCGATGTAAAAACAAAAAGGTATTTGATTATAGTTTTATTATACTGTAAATGTCGGACCAAAATTATATAATATTAAAATTTTTTTTTCAAAATATATAGGGACATAACATTGTTATTATACATTTGGGCTTAATTATCTTTGATTTAGTAATTACTTCTCTCTTTGTTGGCAATAATGGTAAAGATGTTATATGGCTTTATATTCCAAGGTAAGATTAAAATTTACATGATAAATATATATATATTGTTATTCAATTTCTAATTAATGTAATTCTGTTAAATTTATCTATAAAACATACATATATACTATAGTGTAGTTTTTTTAACAGTTCCAATAGGATTAAACATCATAGTAGCTTATTTAATAATAGATATAGAAAATAAAAATAAAAAATTTTTTGATTGGTTTATCAAATTCGGAAAAGTTGCAGCAGTAATTACAATATTAGCAGGTGCAAATATTGAAGCACTTACACTGTTATTTTCCAATATTGCAGGGTTGAGATGTTCTCGAGCTCCATTTAGTTTAAGAGCAAAAGCTTGGATTTTTTGGTGGTCTTGTTTTAATATATTTATTAAAGATATTCCTCGTATTATTATTCAGGTATTGCTACAGTATTAAAATTTTATTTAATTTTAATTTTAATTTTATTCATTTTTATTTTTTATATTTTTACTACCAATGTCTTAATTGTTTATTTATTTATTTAACGTTTTATTTAGATATTATATCAACAAAACACAGTAATATACGATATAATACCCCTTTTAACACTAATAACATCCAGTTTGAGCTTAACAATTAATGTGATTAATAAATTATATCAAGGTAAAAATCGATGTAGACATGAAGATATTGATCATTTTCCGGCAGTACCGAATGATGATAGTGTTGATAATGATCATGACGACGGTAATAATGATGAAGGAGATAATATGAATAATTCAAATGATTTAAATAATTTAGATAATTCGAATAATTCGAATAATTCAAACAATTCAAACAATTCAAATAATTCAAATAATTCAAATAATTCAAATAATTCAAATAATTCAAATAATTCAAATAATTCAAATAATTCAAATAATTCAAATATTTCGAACAATTCAAATATTTCGAACAATTCAAATATTTCGAACAATTCAAATGATTTAAATAATTTAAATAATTCAAATAATTCAAATAGTTCAAGTAATTCCACACAAAAAATATCATCATCTTTAGGAGGAAATATTTCAAGAGATACGGAGAGTAGATATAGCAATTATAACGGTGGAATAAATGTTGTTGATAATGGTACAAGATATCCTACTGATGAAGCATACGATGATGATATTATAGAAGTTGTTGGTGGATCTTAAAAACAAAAAAAAAAACCACATAATAAAATTGGTTATAAAAAAAATATAACATTTAAAAACGGTTTATCTAAAAAAATTTAGTTAATATTAAATCGATATTGAATATATTAACAGTAATAAACTGATCTATTCAATTATTTTAATTTGCCTCTATATTACTCGTATCTTAAATTATTATCCAATTACAATGCGTCAATGGCGTTCAAAAGTATTGCATCATCTATTAAAAATGCTAGAAGCCTTATAATTATTTAAAAATTTTTAATGGATTAATTCAACGTACCTTTTTTTTCTTTATTATACGAGGTTATCAGTGGAATTTTCTACACCGAGTGAACCATTTTTAATAATTGTTAAGGCTTCTATCACTATTTAAATCATTTAAAACGCTATTTACTAACAAAAGAATAATAACTAGCCACCAACTTTACTGTTGAAACTTTTGCTATCGCCATCGTTATTTGATTGGGAAACATTCACGTGTTGGATAGATAGTCAATCACATGAATTGTTGCGATCACCTTTTATAGCAATTAAATCTATTTTATTTATTATACTTTTTCATTTTTATACCTTTTGTTTTTCATTGCAGCTTTTGTTTATTATACGTAACTGTTTTACGTATTATTGATTATTAGTACCGTATTTGAAAATCAGATACCCCTAAAATAGCATATGCAGCTTCAAATTAGCGCCCACGGCGTACCGAATTAACGAGCATCCCTATAAATGAATAATAAATAAATAAAAGTGCACCGAACTGGATTTGTTAAATAATATATAGTTATTGGATGCGAAGCAGCCAATAACGAGAATTATTTGTAAAATAATTCATTAGGAGTTATTGGATGCGAAGCAGCCAATAACGAGAATTATTTGTAAAATAATTCATTAGGAGTTATTGGCTAGTGTAGCATACAATAACGGTTTTATCTGGTGGTTTACGACGATTGTGCTTCTAAATGACTCGAGTTTTGGTAGTGATTACATAAACTGCCAAATAACTCGAGTTATTTTGGCAGCACTATCATAGTAAGCTGCCGGATAAATAAACATATTTTTCGGCTTTAACAAAACTTGTTCTTCAGATCGAGAAGATTCTAGTAAAATCATCAGAAACGGTCCAGTAGTTCTCCCGCAATGGCTCTTCAAAGGTTTGCAACGGTTGTTTACATTATGTAAACTAAGGTAAACAAACGTTGCGATGAACTACTGGACTGTTTTTGATGATTTTACTACCGTTAGAATCTTCTCGATCTGAAGAACTTTTTTAAAGCCAAAGAAATAGGTTTACATAATAACATACCCAGTCCTGGAGCACTTTTTAATTCTTATTATAAATAAATACTATTTATTATCTGTTATAATTAGGGGTGCGAATTCAATCCTTATTTCGAAATAACGCTCATGCAAATAACGCGTTATTTCGAGCCTGTACGGTATTGTTATTTATTAGTTTTTAATATTTAGTATATTTAGATCGTTTCAGATTGTTGTTTGTGGTTTAGGTTATTTTTGGTGGGTTTAGGTTGTTTTTTGATGGGGTTAGATTGTTGTTAGTGGGTTTGATGGGTTTACGTTGTTTTTGATGGTTATTGGTGTTGTTGATTAATTGGTCTAATTAGGCATAGGCTTTTTGCATTTCCCCCTACTTAAGGTCTACTGGTCCTGTAGAAGGGATCGGTTACGTACCTTTCTTAAGAGTTAAAAACTTATGAGTTAGCGGTTTTGGTGGAAGGAAGGAGAGGGTGGATAAATAGATATTATTATATGGGTTATAAAATAACTGAATTTGCACGGCATGGCCTTCGGCCATGTAACCCCGTACAAATTTAGTTATTTTTTACAACCCATACAATAACTATAACATAACATTCCGCTAGTGTTTATTGTTTAAAGTAATTTTTAGAATTAAGATAACGCACAGTAAATTTACTGGTTTCGTGAATAGATCATCAAAGTTCGTAGCGAAAAATCTTAATTTTCTTATAGCTGAATTATCCTAAAATAAAAAGACTTGTTTTTGGATGTTCTAAAAATTCCTAAATTGTCCCAAATTATCTTAAATTGCTCTATATTTTTACTAATGCGAAAGCAATTAACGATTGATGTAAATGCTCAAGCTGCAGATCTACGACGTATGATTAAATTGTGTTATATTTCAGTCATGGGTGATGATGGAATGATTATGGTTGGTCATTAATTTAAAGAAATCGGTGTTAAAAAGAATGAACACAAAATGTTCAAATATTATCAAAAATCTGATAGTAATTTAATTTTAAACTTTAATAAAGATGGCATGGTAATTGATAGTTATCTAACTATAATTTGGTTTTTATTTTAATTCCACTAATATCGATACAAGAAATTAATATATAAGTATTCGCACATATTAGATTATATCGCTGTTTTAGAACCAAATTTAGGTGGGTACTGTGTGAAAAACCGGGTATTGTATTTGGAGATATATTATATTAAAATTTATAAATCAATCTACGTAGTTATATTCCCGGATCTTATTCAAGAAACAGTTGGTAAGAATAGTGAGTAATACCCGAATCTTAATCATTTTTGGGAATGCTGTAAGCAGAGGCCAATGATAACCAAAGAAAATCCATTTCCATTGATTTCTGATTCGTCACTTCCCTATGGTCTACCTATTTCACAGATTCAAATATTTGCTGCAATATCGATATTGAATGATTTCTTAAAGAATTATTTCATTTAAAACCCTAAATCGAGACCATTTTACATATTCGTTGTGAAAAATAATTACTGGAAGTGATTATTCACTTAACTTGATTTAGGGTTTGAAATGAAATGATCGGTATTTTGCAAGAACAAATGACTTGTTCGCATTGCTAATTGACTGGCAACAATTTCAAAATGAAGAAATAAAATACGATATCGAAATTAAATTTTGTATAATTTTATTGTAAGGATTCGCTTTAATTTTTAATAATACATAGCGATAGTTAAGTAAAAAATTTTTTGGGTGATTATGTTAATCATTGCTGTGTCAATGAGATAAGCCACATGTTTGCTGTACAGGTGGAATCTCTATTTCAGGTATTAGCTTTATTTTAGAAGCTATCCTAACGCTAAAATCTTGCCAACTTTAGCTGTGAGGCTTGAAAAAGTTGTTGCTAATATTTGCATTTTGTGTTTGTGGCTTTATTTATTACGTAAATATTGTTATCAGATAATGTGCAGTGCAGTATCATTCTCTATTTCATTAAATTTATGAAAATTCAGACTTTAAGGTAATTTTATTATGATTTATATATATATACTGTAATATGCAACTTTTTTAATTAGTACTTATTAGCAATAATCAAATTATTAATGGTTAATAATTTTAGTAATTTTTTTAGACTATTGCTAACTTGCCCCCCTGGTTAAGTACCATAAATCGCCGTATACAAGACCCGGGTCTCTTACATTCCACCAATTTTAAATCCTATGATAGACCCCGGGTCTACTGTAGTATGCAGCCGAGAGTTCATGTCACTAAGAAAGAGTATGCATGTTTTGCATTTATAATAGACAATCCAAATATTTGGTGTTTGATTAATACTGTATAGATGATACGCGATTTACGGTAATTAAAGTTAGGTGTTCTAATTAAAAATGTTCAGAACCCCCAAAAACCTTACGCGTAACCCTTATTTTAAATTTTTATTATGTTATATAAACCTCTATTTCATATTAAAATTGTACTCTAACCCTAAATACAGAAATAAAATAGAGGTTAAATCACCCCTAGTTAAAAATAGTTAAAAGCATTTTTTAATTAAAACTCAAAAGTCCAGCGCCTCGCCTAAAGTTATATTAAGAAATCCCTGGTTTTTGGTGCCTTATATTCTGGTTTGGCGTGATTGTGTTACATAGCCATTTACAATACAAAGCTATCCCTTACACCGTCTTGCAGGCAAATTTGCCTGCAAAATCACAGTAACACGTGACATTTGACGGTGTATATATTATGATATATATTACGCATTACGGCACATAATATTTACCATATGGTAGAATGCCATAAAAACTCTACCGCCAACACTAGTTGAACAAGTAGGAGAGTTAATCTTCGAAACTAAGTATCTCAAATTATTTTTAACTGAATAAATAAATAAATAAAAGATAATTTAATTACAGTTTTTATAATTGATTTTATGAACTTTTGACACCGCGTGAAAAAAAACAAAATTATAAATTATATAATTATAGATTAGTTTAGGATTTTCGATAACAACATAGTTACTTTTTATGTTAAACCGTCTTAATCAGGTTTAACGTATGAAAAATAAACCCGGTTCAAAAGATGCCGACATTATATGGATTCCTTTACTGCATAACTGACTTCATTCTTCTATATATATAGTTTCATACGCAATTAAAAATATTTATATAATACAGCCAATTGTTTGATCATATGTATCGTTAAAAATAGTAAAAACAAATCTTGCATTATTCTTAAAAAAAAGTATTCTCGATCTTGTGTGTTAAAATGAAGCAACTTATATTTTTTTTGCATAGTACCGGTAGTATGTTATTTAGAGTATTCCTTACGAAACATATTTAACTATCTACGGAACAATAGTATATCACTATCGATATGACCTCATACTAAGTTTAAAAAGGAAATTTTTGGGGCGTCATTTGTAAACAAAAGATAATAGGTACCAATCAAACTTATCCACATGAGTAATGAATATGCGATTATGCAACCTGAGTGCATTTTTGCACCGTACGTTGCTTGATTGGGAACAGTTAATCTTTCTCACTCGTTTTTTCTATATCTTTTTTTTTTTTTCTTCTTCTTTTAAATCAATTATGAATCAAGAAAAATTCATCATGCAACAAGTAAAATTTCGTGTTAACGCAAAGCCGAAAATTTCAAAATTAATCTTAAACGATACTCAAAAAGAAGAATTAACAAATCTTTTTAACTTTCAACCTAATCCATCGGATCTTAGTAAAGAAATATTTACTACTAAAATATGGACAGAAAGTGAAGAAGACCAAAAGGATGCTAAAGAATATTTGAGTTTTCAAGGACTTTGGCCTCCTTATGTTAGTAATCCAACTTCAAGATGGAAGACTCGTTGGAGCGATAAAAAGAATGGTGCAACTTTATATCAATGTTCTTGTGGATCTGATATGGAATCTGCAAGAAAAACTGATGTAGAAAAACAAAGAAAACTTCGACAAATGTATGATTTTGTTGGATGTTTAGCTTTTATTAGAGTAGAAAAAAATGTTAATAATGGCAAATATCGACGAGTTCATGGATACATGGAACATACTGAAGCTTGCCATAGAGCATTACCAAAAAAAGATACACCGACTCTAAGGGTTAATTGTGAGATTAAGGACATGACAGAACTTTTGGTTAGGGCAAATACATCTATAAAAGATATTATATCTTGGAATCAACATTTTATAAGAAAAAAATTATCAGGAAGAACAACATTAAAAGATCAACATTTTCTAGTTACAGTTTATGATGTTAAGGATGCAAGACATTGGGTTAAAGCTCAACAAAAACAGTGGCCCATAAATATGAATCGATCTGTTGATTTTAATCTAGAATGTTATTTTGGAAAGGGCGCTCAAGATCCAGATTTATCTAATTCAGTGGTTTATTTTGAAAAACGGAAACATCGTCATGATCACATTTATTTAGTGCTAGCAACTGAAGAACAACTTCGTCTAGCATGGAGATATGGTCATGAAAAATATATTATTCTAGATGATTCTTTTGAAACTGGAAACAAAAAATTACTATTATACGTTATCATGGTCGTTGATGAACTAAATAAAAGTATACCTGTGGGATATCTATTATATTCAAGACCCAATAATTCTTACGTGATGGAAGAGAATAATCATAAATATACAATTCTTAAGAAACTATTAATTGAATATAAAAAACGATTGAATAACTTTAATGGAAACTTTCAAGAATTTACTCCAAGGGTAAATATTAGTTAAATCATATACGACAACAATTTCATTACTATTATATTATTATTGGGTTAATCAACCATTTCTGTTTTTTTTATGGTTATTATACTATAGATTGCTATTATTGGAGATTTTAGGGAACGCATTGAACGTATTGTGGTTTCTGAAATTTGGAACGGAATTGACATGTTATACTCACCTCATAAGGTGCGGCTATGTTGGGAAACAAAAGCAGATGAATTTTTATTTATGGGAGGTAGTAATGAAGCTATTGAATGTCGCCAAGTCCTCAGAAATGAGTTGACAAATTTATTTAATGAGTGAGTAACTTTATTATTATTGTGTCTAATCTTAATAAAAATTACTTACATTATCAATTTTAAATATTGTCATTAGATTAGAACGTGCCTCGGAAAGTGGAATACAAGCACAAATTCAGGAGATGGAACGGCATGCAATGGTAAAAAAAAAATCCAATAAGAACTCTTTATGATTATTAACAATAGCATGAAATAACATTTTAGTGTTTTATTACTATTATTATTATTGTAGGAACGTCATGCAGAAGGATTTAATAATAAGGTTGATACAACGATCTTATCTTTGTATAACGGACAATGCGAGTTTTTAAAATATTTACGTACAAATTGGATAAATGACATAGAAATAAAAATGTGGTCATTTAGTAACCGATCAAGAGCTGCAAACAAAATAGGTGTTGATTTAAATACATGGTTATCAGATTATCAAGAAGGATTCCAAATACAGTTCAACTCAAATCGAATGTTAAGGTTTCAGCAAAAAGGACATCTTTTGCGTTTAGATGTTTTAAGTCTTTTGCTTATAAAGTTTATTACACCTATTTGTAATCTACAACGTCTATTATGGAATTATGTTGAGACATTTTTGAAAAATGAAAAGTCATCAATTGATGCAGTGCTTCAGGGGGAAGAGTTAGAAGAAGGGCAATGGAAATGTTTACTTGAGCAGCATATTAATACCATTGCTTTTGAAGAAAATTGTCCAAGAACTAATCAAGAAGCCAGTCATTTATTACGGAAGAAACCCTCAGTCGAATACAATGGTGAATCTTTATATGTTATTATAGAGACTGATAACTTAAATCCAGAAATTTGTCTTGATAATGATGAGATGAGATCATATTCGGTTGGACTTAAACCCATCTTTAGTTGCCATTGCTTCCATTTCCTAGTGAGAGGAGGATCTTGTGCACATATTATGGCAGCAGTCCGCTACGTAAATTGGTTACGTGAACAACCAGAGAATCGTAGGTTTGATATCAACCTACGACATTGGACTATTCCAACCATTAAACTACCATCACAAAAGGATGCTCTTTCGACATTACAACATCAGACACAAAAGAAAATGTTTCCAATTCAAATTTCTACTGATATGTATGATAGTGAATCAGAAAACGAATCTGAGGACATTGATTCTATTGAATCTTATATAACATCATATCCTGACTTTAATATATCATCATCAGGACAACTCCCAGAAAATAGTGAATCCATATCTTCTACTCAAACATGGAATAATATGTTATCATATGTTACGAATAAATTGCTGACGAATTTTGAAGAGTTTTCAACCTTTGGTAGTAAATTAAGTCAAAGTCAAACAACCGCTCCCACGAGTGTGAAAGCTAATTTGAAAGCGTTAAACTCGGAGTTGGTCACAAAATTGAATACAGTTTCAGAAAGTGAACAGACTAAAGATCTTATTAATACTTTAAAACAGATACAACACGCTATCATGACGGACTCCTCAGGAGACAGTATGAATAATAGCGAAGCAACAAATAACAATTCAATGGTATAAAAAATATAGATGTATTTCAAAATAGAAGTCATATAATACTATGTTATGTAAATTACAGTAGATAACTTAATAAAATCTGAGAAAATTTGGTAACTTCCTATATTTGGCGTAGTTTATAATGTTTCGATTATGCGAGTTTATAAATATTCTAGGTTAATTTTTAGGCTAATATCATGAACGCGAAAATGTTGTATCTGAAGTAGCTTCCCGTCTGAAGATAAAATTTCAGGGGTTTAATCTTGATCAGACGTTACTTCAGATATACAACTGTACAATGGTTAAAAGGTTTCCGTTAACTCGTCCGTTATCATGTGATCCTACAGATCATCAGAAAAATCATGTTGATAAATAACGTAATACGCATCTTTTTTTTTCAACAATGAATTTACAAGGATTTCGTTCACGTTTCTCGAATTTAAAGCCTTATTAATGATTTATCAACGGGTTAAATATCTAAAATTATAGAGATAATTTTATTATTTTTATTGATAAATTCATCAAAAACAAATTTTCAGTAGTAAATTTTTAGCGAGAGAAGTAGGGATTCACTATTATCATAAGGTTTCAGCAATCCGTTTTTTTTTTTTTTTTAGCGGAGCATCAAGTTTTTTTTTTAGCGGGAGCACTAGAGTTTCGTCATTATGAATTTGGGTTTCGTCTTTCGTCAGCAAAATTTGAGGTTTCGTCTTTCGTCAGGGGTTTCGTCATTTTGGGGTTTAGGTTTCGTCTTTCGTCACCAAGCAAAAAAGATTTCGTCTAACAACTATACACGTAACACAATTTTGAAACCAAGAATGTTGGTTATAAGTAATCAAAAGTTGTCATTTCGTTCAATAAGTCAAGTAAAACCATATTCTTCATTAGTAAATCAAGAAAAAAAACAAGAAAAAAAAAGGGAAACAACGTTTATCTATATGGCAAAACAAGCAAAAACACAAATTTTTAAAATCGTTAAATTCACTTTAACAGTGATGTTATTAATGATCTTCATATTTTACTTGGCTTACCGAGGATTTCATATATATATTGAATATTTTTTGCATCCCACACCAAAGAAATTATCATCAGAGGCCAGAAATTGTTTACGAGGTGCATACTTTCGTGAAGAAATGGTAGCTGATCCTCAAATAGCTGAAGTATATTTACGAAGGGCTTTAGAAATTGCAATTAATAAACAAAATTTAGATTTGGATGACCCTGTAGTTATAGATATTTGGTTACGTATAGCTTATAATTACGTGTGGATGAAAAAATTCGAGGATGCTAGTTTAGTCTATAGATCTATTTTAGAATTATTGTTACAATCTAAAAATTCAGAAAATTTCAAGAAAGCAATCGAAGTATCAAAAAAGTTGGCTGAGGTTTATATCAATATGAAAGAATTTGATAATGCTGAAAAATGTTTGTGTTGGTCCATTGAGATGTTACAACTTGATGAACAGGAATATGATAATAAAAAGAATTGGATAATTGATGATAATCAAAGCGGAAAATTAGAAATTCCTACATCGATTTTTGAAAATTCTAAAATTACTAATGAAGAATTGGTTAAATTTGTCGATTTGCTTGCGGGTTTATATGCTCAGCAAAAGAAGTTCGAGCTTGCTTTACCTTTGTATTTAGGAATTCTCAAAACATTACAAAACCAGCAGAAAGATCAAGGTCAAGATAAATGGAAATGTTGGGAAGCCATAACAATGGGACATTTAGGTGAAGTGCTTTATGGTGTAGGAAAACAAGATGAAGCGATGGGATGGATGCAACAAGGCTTAACTATTTCAAAAAATAACAGTGGTAACAGAGATTGTGATGAATGTTCTGGCGTTATTTTTAATAATTTAGGTTTAGTTTACGAAAAAAATGAGAATTTTGAAGTTGCAGAATCATTGTATAACCAAGCTATTCTGCATGCTACAAAAGCTCAAGATTTTGTTGGACTCGAACAATTCTCTTTGAATTTAGATCGATTAATTAGTAATGAACAACAACAATCTGATATCGTAAACTGAGTTTGACTGAATATCCCATGAAAATGACAAACATGTAATATTATTTGTCAAAAAAAATTAATAAAATAAATATTCTACTGTCATTTCTTTATCAACATCAGGAAGTTGTATCAATTACAACCTTATACTAGAGTTCCAATCCGGATAAATCCGTCATCCATTTATCCATATCTGATTTATTCGGATATCTGATATCAATAGTAAATAGATATCCGAATAAATTCAAATCTGGATATCTGATAATTATCCGGATAAACGCTAACCTGATTGGAACTCTACCTTATACCCATTAATTGGGCAATATTAAGTAAGTATTTTTATCCCATGTCTCCTAATGGTCGTCCGTGATACTACACACTGATATTTTCATGCAACTGATTATCCGTGAAAATA